CTAAGTTTCCTCTTTCATTCATGCAAGCAAACATGCAAGAGAAAAAACTGGATTTTCCTCCCTTTGGATTATAAGAGTCATAAATTCTTGTCTTTAGCTTTATGGGGCTAAGTTAAAAATTAAGGGATAGGACACAACTCCTTTTATGGATCAAAAATCAAGATGAGCCTTTCATTTCCTAAGTGTATTATGTAATAGAAAAATGCCCAAATCTGCAATCAGCAATGTGCTGAATTAAAGTGGGTAAAGAGAGCACAAGATTTTTTGTATATTTTTTCAAAGCCAAATTTGAGGAGAACCAGGCAAGACTAGTATTTGAACATCACTGAATGATTTGTTTATTCGCTGACTCTGGATACGGAACCTCTTTGTACTGGAATTGGTGTAAGATGTGTAGCTCTTCCCTTGAGAGGCTGGTGGTCTGGGGGAGAGAGCAGTACAGGGTTTTGGTGATTGGGGACTCTTAGCACCGTGTGGAGAACAGTGGCTTTTTAAAAGAGAAAGTGGTGTGTTCTGTCCTAGTGAGATAAAAAGGGGAGCTCATTGAAACACCAACATTCTACTTCTCGTCTTTATGGATTTGACTAGTCTAGCTGTCATATATCAGTGGAATCAAGCAGTATTTGTCCTTTTGGGCCTGGCTTATTTCACTGAGTCTAATACAGTCCTCAAGGTTCATCCATGTTGTAGCATGTGTCAGAGTTTCCTTTTTTTTCACAGCTGAAAACTATTTCATCGTATGCATATACCATGTTTTGTTTATTCATTCATTTGTAATGGACACTTGAGTGCTCCATTTGGCAGTTGTGAATAGTGTTGGTACGAACATGGGTGTGCCGATATCTCTGTGAGTCCTTGCTTTCAAATATGATTTTTAAATGAAAAAAATTAAAAGTAGCGAGGGAAAAACACCCCTTTTCCTTTCCTGCAGGGGTTGGGTACGTCCAGCCTGCAGGCCATATAAGGCCTGTGAAATCATTTCGTCTGGCCCTGCCAAGGCATTAGGGGTGAGTTAATTAAATGTTTGACCAGATAAAGCAGGCTAATTTTAAAGTTGATAATTTTGTATGGCCTGCAAATGATGTTATAAATGTCCAAGTGGCCCATGGCAGACAAAACGTTCCCCACTCCTGCCCTACAAGATCTTTCTGGTCATACTTCCTCAGCGCAGTACTGTCAGACAGGAGTCCTACTATGGCTCTGCAAAATTCATCAGAAAAAGCAGCTGTTGCCGAAACCGGTTTGGCTCAGTGGATCAGCTGTTGCAGATACTCTAAAGAAACTGCCTGCCCGGCCAGTGTGGCTCAGTGTTTCAACGATGACCTATGAACCAGGGGGTCACTGTTCGATTCCCAGTCAAGGCACATGCCAGGGTTGTGGGTTCGATCCTCAATCATGGGCGTGCAAGAGGGAGCCAACTGATGATTCTCTGTCATTTTTCATGTTTCTATCTCCCTCTCCCTTCCTCTCTGTAAAAAATCAATAAAATATATTTTTTTAAAAAAATAAAATAAACTTACTGCCTGCTGCACAAAATACCCAGATTCTCAAATTTCATCCCTACACAACAAAAGAAGCTAGTTTTTCTCTCACAAGTACCCTTATGCATTATACAGATGTTTCTGAGTGAAAAGGGCCAGCATCTAAAATGTCAGAATAAGGGTCAAGTGAAGGATGCAACCAAAGAACTAGGACAGTGGTCGGCTAACTGTGGCTCGCAAGCCACGTGCGGCTCTTTGGCCCCTTGAGTGTGGCCACGAAGTTTCAATTGCACTGTACGTGCGCGCCCGCACGTGGTATTTTGTGGAAGAGCCACACTCAAGGAGCCGCAGTTTGTCGACCACTGAACTAGCTGAGGCATGAGGTTATCAACAGAATGACCAAGGACATCCTGGTAACACGG